GGCTATTGCTACAAATATACCCCAGCGACTTAAGACTGGTTTTGTGGTCCAGGGTCACATATGTGTTTATATGTGTATAGAATGCAGATGTTCAATAGCTGGTAACAGATTTCCTCATTAATCTCACTGAAATGTTCTCTTGTAAACATATTTCAGAGGCACGTTATTTCTCGTTCTTGTCCCTGTAGCAAGCATTCAACGCGACAGCAGTGGTCAGACACATGCGGAGACTGCAGCTGAGCACCAGCCTAGAGGGGCCGAGCCAAATCACCCCCACCAGCCCCTACCACAGACACCTGCTCCTGCCCGCCAAAGAGCTCGACCAGGAGGAGCACGAGGACGAGGACGAAGACCACAACAGTAAGCCTAAGATCATTCTCCAATAAAAGTCACATACTATCCATTCCAAATAATAAATTGACAATTTTAGTACATACAACCTGTTAAGTAAACAAAGGAAGAGAAGTTAGTGACAGTATCTTCTTGGACTTTTTTTAGTTTTAGAAAAATGACCACAGCATGTATTAAATGAATTTTAAGATAATTGATAACGTAATGAACAAGGTCATGTTTTTTAACCATATTTTATTGGACTGTCCTGTTTTGAATGCTTCTAGGCAGGTTTTATTTATTACATTAACATATTTTTATAACAACATTTTTCATCAGTAATGAATAATGTATATTTATTTATAAAAAAAAATTCAGAAACATCTATTTTTTTCAGAAAGAAATTTAGTAGTTTTTAATTTAAAGAATTTGTCAAATATCAAATTTAAAGATCTTAGTATAGATGTAGTTTTTATTGTGATGTCGCAAGAAAGTTATTTGTCTACTGTTTTGTTTCTTTTATTTTAATATACTTTGATAGTGCCATTAAAATAACTTTTGAACCTTATATGGTGCTAAAATAAATATACAAACAAACAAATAAGTAACTTTTAAAAGTTAAGTTAAACAGAACACACAGGAAAAAAACACTTTACAGGAAATATACAGTATGTAAAAAGTTGTCATGTGGAATTTAGAGTTACTTTAGTATGATTTATGTAAGCAATAAGGTATGAGAGGCTGTGCTGTATTGTGTATAATACAGCTTTGCGTCGTGCCTAACAACCCCCTTCAGCCGTGACTTATTCACAATATAGCATGCTCTGAGTACCTTATTGCTTTTATAAAACGGTTACCACACAATAAAAACTATTAAAACCAAAAATTTATGTATTGATATGTTAATTTTTTGAAGAAAGTTCGTTAAATAGTGTCCAGAACCATTGGGTGAAGCGGTCATAGCTGTGCTTTATCATGAATAAAACTCAACTGCTGACCAATCAGAATCGAGGACTGGAACCAACTGTTTTAAAAATACTATTATAATATTTATTAATATTTTGAATGAGCTTTTTTATAGTTTATAGTTTTGTTAGTTTTTTATATTTCTATTTAGCTTTATTTGTTTATATTTCAGTTTTAGTTTTAGTACTTGTAGTACCTGCCAAGACAACATTTCATAAAAAAAATAAATAAAATATATATATATATATATATGTATATATATATGTATGTGTGTATATATATATATATATATATATATATGTACGTGTGTGTATGTATATATATATATATATACATGAGTGCCTAGAAAAGCGCTATATAAATGTAATGAATTATTATTATTATTATATATATATATATATCTTAGCCATCTTCAAGAAACGACTAAAAACGATATATATAAATATATATATATAATTTCAGCATGTTTATATATAAGATATATAAATTATATATAATTTCAGCATGTTTTTAATAGTTTTAGGGAACAATAACTAAACTGGGCCAAGTGCTATTTTATAAACTACACAGTTGCTGCTTGTTTTCACATAAACGTTTCTGTTTAGGTTCCCCGAGTGCGGACGGGCGTCGAGGCAGTGCCGACCGGGACAGTCTCAGAAGCTGTGCGTACTGCTGCCGACCTACCAGCAGGATCTGAAGCAGAACCTAGAGGAACCCAGTGGAACCACACATGCACGTCCACCGCACCAGTCTGACCCGGAACACAGAGCTTTCCTGCTGGTGGGACGTGAGAGGAGAGCGTCATTGTTCCAGACACTCAGACTTGGGTATATCATAGACAGATATGCAACTCCTCTATCGTTTTAATTTGATTACTATTTCTGTACCCCAACCAAAGACTAAAATATGTTTAAGTTGTACGTTTATGGAAGGTTTAATTATTTATTTATTTAATTCTCATTATTTTTTTAAAGAAAAAGTTCAGGTCTGTACCCGTAGCAATTTGGACTTTCTTGGAAAGCCACTAGTTATACAATGTGTTAACAAATATTAATATCTTAATAAGCCCCACTTGCTCAGGCGATAAGTTCATTAGAAAAAGAAAAAAAAAGATAATCATATCATTTTTAAGCCTTAATCCATTGTGGTTTTGTTTTGTAAGGTCTGTTGGGTAGAGTTGTCGCTGTTGTTGATTTTGTGATCTGGTTCAGACTGGTACAAAGCTGCATATGAAGTCAGAGCAGGAGTATTTACGAAGATCACATAAACTTGTTGTGGGTATAAACCTTCATATGAAGCGTGTGGACAGAACAGGGGTTAGGAGATTTGAGCCACAGTCCAGATGCTTTTTTTTTACACCCAGATTAAATGCAATACTTAGATAATCTCCACATTCAATAAAGATTTCTAATTTTAGATTTATGGGGCAAAAGTAGTCTGTATCTCAGTTCCAAAACCTACATTTAAAAATAATTTGTCTAGATCTTAATTTAAGATGTATGTATTTGAATTTGCATATAAAATATCCATCTATTTGAATTACAAACATTTTTTAACATTAACAAACTCATAACTTAATGTAATGCATATTTGGCAATCATACATAAATGAAAGAAGTTAGATTTCTGTATAGAATTTAACCAGGTTTATATTTTCATCATCAATAAATCTGATTTGTTTTTATCGAATGCATATTACTAATTAAATATTGCTTGTTCTAGAGCTAGCCATATTTTAACCGTGTTCTTATTTTATTTTAACTGAACAAATGTAATTGTTTGCACAATTAACAGATTTATGCAAATTCTAAGCAATTTGAATAAATGCATTTTGACAAATGAAACAGGTGAGATTTTTTGCAATAATACTAATAAACTAAACTAAATACACAATAACCAAGGTCTATATATTTACCATCAATAAATCCAATTTGATTATTTATCTTATTAATCTAATTAATTAATCTAATGAATGCGTTTTAGCTAATCATGCTCATACTTTTATTTCAACCGAATAATTGTTTCCACAATGAACAGATTTACGCTGATAAGCAATTCGAATAAATGCATTTTGAGAATATAATTATTTAAATAAAATTCCATAGATGCAAATAGTTAATAATAAACTATGCCATGCTTTTTGTGTGTGTGCAGAAATCTTATCCATTTCATTTATTCATGACTGACAAATATGCATCACATTAAGTTTATTAGTTTGTTTACACTAAATCTGTGAAATTCAAACAGATGGTAATATTACACAATTCAAATACATAAATCTTAAAGGGGTCATATGATGCGATTTCAATTTTTTCTTTCTCTTTGGAGTGTTACAAACTCTTGGTGCATAAAGAAGATCTGTAAAGTTGCAAAGACTAAAGTCTCAAATCCAAAGAGATATTTTCATTACACCAAATACACAAAATAATGTTATTTTTAGCAGCATCATATGACCCCTTTAAATGTAAGCCCAAGTTTAGTGAGAAGGAATCAGATGCACACTCCTGGTCCAAAATAGGTCTTTTAAGACACTTGAAAAAAATCAAAGGCAGATGCTGCGAAAGCGATCTCATAATGCAGTGTAACAAGCTCAGTAAATATATATTAAAAAGGATGAATAAAAGCTATTTTAGCCAATATTTGTGAGAGCTATGTGGATTTATGCTTTTTAGAGTATGCTGGCATCAAATTCTGTTGCAGTTGTGAGTCGAGTGTCGTATTGCGCTTCACATATGAGGCACTATTTGTTGTAGAGTGTTTCAAATCAGTTACTTATGCGATTCCGTTTAAATTATTCTGCCTTAAGAGGGTTTTGGAACAGATGTTGATTAACTACTTTGTCGCAATAGTGATTAGTTCTGCAAGCAAAATGATTTATCTGTCCATGATTATCAGTTATTCCATGTTGTGTGAGCTGATTGGTTGATTGGTTAAGGTTCTTTTGTTTTGGTTGCTGGCCATAATCTGTACTGTTCTTCTGTCGGAAGACGTCTAATGTTTGCATGACCTCGTAAAAATATGTTTACAAGAGCGATGATCAAAATATAAAATATACATAAACATATTCATATCTGTACAATACTAATTGCAAAATAAGACATACTATTTCTGTCACAAGTCATTGGGAGGCACAAGAAATTTGGACAATTAATCTGTTTCTTTTTCTATTACTTTATAAAATGTGCATATAACATTATCTTAAGAACTCAATACTGGCCTTATTTTAAAACTGGATTAATACAAAAAAAAAACAATGCAAGAACATTTATCCCCTTGTTCATCAATATATCATATCTGTGCCAATTTGCGCACATTACTTACTTGAAGCCAACAATAATACAAAAAAAAAAAAGTTTTTGTTTTTTGCTAATGGACCCCTAATATTAAAAACATTTTCTTTTTAATCATGAATGATTCGTTTTAAGTTGACACTCCATCTGTCTGATATAACTGTATTTATCATTTATTTGCATAAAGTCAATTTCTAGTTTGTCAGAACAGTGTTGTCAATGCAACAGCATTTTTATTTTCAGTGTAAAATGCTTTTTAAGTTTAATTAGTATTTATTAAATTCAATGAAATGCTAAAATATTAAGTGCATCAATAATTAAAATATTTAATTTTAGAACTGCGTCATACCCAAGTGCAATCATTGATTTAATTAGTATCAAATTGCAACAGTCTAATGAGCAGTTCAGCAGTCAGTTCATTATGGTAATTATGCAAACTGCCTCAGAAGGGCTGATTAAATATCATTAGAAGACATGACTATGACTTTGGCTTTGGAAAGTACTAGGAAGTTACACCCTAGTTTTTGGGTAGTTAATTCCTCCCTTGATCAATTTGTTTTTCACATGGAAGTGCACACACTTCAGGAAGTGAAGAGGAGACACAAATACAGTATGTGTATTATACATAAAGATGATATATACATATATTGTATATCTTTTTTGTAAAAGCTACAAATGTATGGATGCAATGCATCATGTGTTATCGATGGAGTTATGAAGAGCCAATGATTTGTACCCTTAAAGATATACAGGTAGTAGCACGTTATGAATAAACACTCCTTGTCTATGCATTGTGTGTTCAGTAAAATCTTTGTGTACAGTGCAAATAAAGTTCACATCAGAGTGCTATGCAAAGGCAGACTGTGGTTGGTACTTTCAGATTATATACTCCAAACTGTATGACATGTCAAAATCCCTTTATTTAAACATTACTACAAAATGTACAAAACGTATTTACAAAAAACTAAGTTGGGTTTGTTAGCCGAAACATACATGTAACGTTATGAGTGGAAAAGCTCTGACAGGAATAGTTCACTCAAAAATGAAAATTGACTCACCCTCGGGCCATCCAAGATGTAGATGAGTTTGTTTCTTCATCAGAACAGATTTGGAGAAATTCAGCATTACATCACTTGCTCAGCAAAGGATCCTGCAGTGAATGGGTGCCGTCAGAATGAGAGTCCAAACAGCCGATAAAAACATCACAATAATCCACACGACTACAGCCGATTTAAAATTAAAACGTCTTAATCATGGATTTGTTTGATACAAACATGCAGCTTTTCACTGCACAAGACCTAATTGATGGACTGGAGTTGTGTGACGGCACCCATTCACTGCAGAGGATCGATTGGTGCACAAGTGATGTAATACTAAATGTATCCAAATCTGCAATGAAGAAAAACATCTATTTCTTTAAATAAAAAAAGTCACTTATACAAGAAGTGTAAATCAACAATATCTTAATTGTAATATTGTGATAATTTTGTAATCTTTTGTGATAATTTTGTTAAAACAAAATGCATGTGGAAAAAAATGTGCTATGCCTGCCCAATCAAACAGTGAGTCAAGAAAAAAAGATGCTAAAATTTGCCATACCAAAAAAGGAAAATTAAGTCTGAAACATTGCAATTTGGGATACAGTGTCCTTTTCTTTATGCTCTTTTTGTACTACAGTACACATTTTGTTAAATGTAGTAGTGCATGATCTCTGAAACTAGTATGCATATGTGAACATACCAAATGATTTGAACCATAAATGTAGAAAAAGTGGAAAGAATTGCTGTCTGTTCATAAAAGTATATAATCTATAAATATGGCAGACCAATAATTTCTATACTCAAACACTAGATACAGTTCCAGTATACTGGAGTTATTCTGTTCTTGTGTGTTTCTCTAACTGGTGCAAATTACAGCCACGTAATCAGCAATTAAGTACAAGTGCTTAATATGACATAACATTGGCCCACATTGTCAACATTCTGGTCCTTGTCAACGGTTTTTCACATTCTGTGACTGCGTTCGAAATCCAAACCCCAAGCTTTCTAAATAAAACTAAGAACTGTTCGAATCAGCAGCTGGAGGCGTATCAGCACTCACGTTAGATCAGTGAAGTAATGTAATGTGTGATTACAGCTCTTTCTCCACAGCACTTGTGATCGCCGTCCTCTTTAGGCTCTCTTTGACCCTGATGAACTCAGGCGCGCACTTTGACCTTTCTCTCTGCTCTTCGACCTCTCTCTCAAACTGAGAATAAGAAAAATTATTAAAGTTAAATCATTTCTGAATGAGGTTATAGTACATGGTGCATATATCATGATTGACAGCACATTTTTTGGAACCCGAGATCAATGTGTTCTGAACTTGAGATGTAAAAATAATCATAATTAGGATCACTTCCCAGCCTTATTAGCGTACATCAAACAATACTGTCCATTCAACACTCATTTCAGTATAGTTTGAGGAATGGTATTTCTGGTTTTACCTTCTCTAACCTCATCTGTCTCTTCAGTAACTCCTGCTCCAGTGGCGATTTCTCCTCCTCCTGTTTTCTGTCTTGTTTCAGAACTTGAGCTCTGTTTCTCTGTTCCAGAACTCTCTGTAACTCCGGCTTCTCCTCCGCCACTGCTCCTCTGATAGATAAAATAAGTCTTATTTTATCTCATATAATAGAAATTGTACATTCATTGCAATTAAATGGAAAGGGAATCCAGGATGTGGACGCTTAAGGTCAAGTTCATGCTTAAGAACATCTCAACATATGTTAACTCTTCAATTGTATTACAAACTATTAGCCTATATTTAAATCATTAAATTATTAAAAATAAGGTAACACGTTTGCTTTAGTTAATGCATAAACCATTGTAAACCAACATTAACTAACAATGAGCAATACATTTCTTACAGTATGTATTAATCTTTGTTAATTGTAGACATTAAAAATACAAAACTGTTTGATGCATTATGCATATTAACAATATGCATTGATGGATCGTTCACTATAAGGAGTGTGTATTAAGAAAGCAAATAGGGTCGATTTTGATTTCAGTTGTTTCACTTCAAAAACATCACATCTAGCGATAATTGATAAGAAAATGCGTTACGAGTTTTATAATGTATCCACAAGAGGGATACATTATAAACTTACTTCATTATAAACTTACTTAGATACTTCAATACCACGACTGAGGTGCCCTTGAGCAAGGCACCGAACCCCCAACTGCTCACTGGGCGCCGCAGCAAAAAAAAAAGGCTGCCCACTGCTCCGGGTGTGTGTTCACGGTGTGTGTGTGTGTTCACTGCTGTGTGTGTGCACTTTGGATGGGATAAATGCAGAGCACTAATTACTAGTATGGGTCACCATACTTCGCCACACGTCACATGTCACTTTCATCACGCCAGAGGCTCTAACTACACGCACAACTTTGACTTTACTGCCATCTGTTGGACAAAACATGTACATGCAAGAGAGACATAAACTCAGAAATCTCTCTGTGGGTACGTTTGAAGTGAGATTAGGAATTGGGTCAGGTGATAAATTAAGGCCGCAACTAAGCTTGCTCATGCCTCAAATTGTGAACATGCTTTCAACTCAAATTCTGGGTCAGTTTGCACCTTTTGTGTGTAATAATCAGCTCTCGCTGGAGCTCCCGGTGGCTCTTGGACGCTTTGATGGGATTGTGGAGCTTTTTGGGCCTGATGAGCTCTTCATAGTAACCGCTGTCTGTTTGCTCAGGAAGCAACTTGCTCTGGTCTAAATCCTCTTCTCTGCCCCACCTCTGATCAGGGTCTATCACGGCTCCAAGATCAGAGACTAAATCTAAGCAAAAGAGAGCATTCTATTAAAGAAACAGTTAATTAAAAACAAAGAAAATTTGCTGAAAAGTCTTGTTTAGCAAATTCCAAACAGCTGATAAAAACATCACAATAATTCACAAAAAAATCCACGCGACTCCAATCAATCATTTAACATCTTGTGAAGCAAAAAGAGGCATGTTTATAAGGAACAAATCCATAATTAATGTGTTTGAACTTCAAACCATCACTTCTAGCCAAAATACCAGTACATAATTCATAATAATGCTTCCTCCAGTGAAAAACTCTATCTCCTGTTGTCTCTCATATTTCTGCATATTTCTCTCCTGATTCAGACAAGAGGTCTTTTCAATGGAGAAAGCAATACTGGTTTCAGTTGAGTTCGACTTCAGCTCACATGTTTGAAATTAAAAACATCTTAATGATGAATTTGTTTCTTACAAACACCCAGTTTTTCACTTCACAAGATGTTAATTGATGGACTGGAGTTGTATGGATTACTGTGATGTTTTTATCAGATGTTTGGACTCTCATTCTGACGGCACCCATTCACTGCAGAGGATCTATTGGTGAGCAAGTGATGGAATGCTAACTTTCTCCAAATCTCTTTCGATGAAGAAACAAACTCATTTACATCTTTGATGGCCTGAGGGTGAATCTTTCAGCAAATTTTCAGCAAAAAAGTTTGAACTATCCTTTAAAAACAGCCAATATCATCCACCAGGAGAAAAGTTAATTTGCATGGAAAAATAATAGGACACCTCACATGATCGTAGCACCAAATGCACCTTTGTTCAAGAAAGCATGTGTAATAATAATGAAAAGCACTATTAATCAGTGTAAGTGCATCATATAATATGAAAGGAACATAGAAAACCTGATTCACCAGGTCCAATAAGTGGTTGAGCACAAGCAGAGTTGTGATTTTGATGATTATGATCTGCCTGTGAAAGAAAATGAATATGAGTCATTATATTTTAACCACAAGACAAAATACAAAAATTTGATTTTCATTAGCATTTTCCCTTCTGCATTTCACAGTGATATGCTATATAGTGATAGCATAATACCATATGATTAACATATTTACTATAATAATACCATGGTATTACCATCATAGTAGTGTACAAAAACCATACTATCACTATTATCATTGCACTGCCTCATCCTTATCTATCATCCAAACAATCTAAAATAATCTCCAAAGCTGTTGATGAACAGCACAATAGCCGTGTGTTGAGATAAATTTGCACTAACACAAGGGAGGCATTGTGGGTATGGGTGTGGGTATGGGTATGGGTATGTGTATGTGTGTGTGTGTGTGTGTGTGTGTGTGTGTGTGTTAAATGGTTTTGGGACCAGCTGGCCTTTAGCCACCTCATTACTGGCCCTGCCAAACAAACTCTCCATTTTCCCTTCATAATCTGTTTGCTGTCTAGAATGTGATTGTGTCAGGAAAGTCACGAGGAGTCCTTGGACTAAATCGCCAAAGGAAAGAAAATCAGAAGGGAATCAAAGTATTCAAATAAGGTTAATGTTACAGATTGCAACTAAATATGTACTTTTTTACACTGAAAGAAACCAAAAGACATGAAGGCTACAGATTAAGACGATTTCACACATATTCAAAGAACTGAAACTAAATGAACTCAAAAGACACTAAACTCATAATAAGTATATTTCAGCTTAGAATAAACGTCTCATTGTCAAACTTTGTCACACAAGCAGGAAAAACAGCATCAAACAAAAGAAACAGTCTCACCTCATAAATTTCAGCATTTTAAGCCTAAAACATTGTTTTCTGAACAATGTCCATTTACAATCATCCATTTGTGTAACAGAGTTTGAGTCCTGTCAGATCTTTAGAGGAGATGTATGACTTACACTCGTAACATACAGGTTCTTCAAACTGGATTCAAATATCCTTACTTTCTTTCCATGGGCCACTCCCATGATTCCAAAGGTGCAGAGTGCTCAGTGCCTCAGGATTGTTCCAGAAACAAATTCTCTGGGATTCCACCTGCTATTTTCATGCAGAGCAAGGGGAGAAGCGGGAAGGGGGATGTACATCCCTCCAAGCAAACCCAAACACACACACACACACACACTTTTACAACCCGGAGTGCATACAGTGTCCTAACTGGTACTACAATCCAGCACAAGGAGGGGGAGTGAAAAAATGGACTGTGTTAAAGTGATGTCACGTTCCCATTTTCCACTCTTCATTGTTAATATCAACAGCAACAGTGTTACCGTATATACAAGAACCAGTGTGAAGGAATTCTGTATGAGAACAGAATCATCTGTATTATCTTTCAAATGTATTTTTGTTTTATAATATTATCATAGTGGCAGAATGTTGCTCTTCTAGTATTTGGAAAAGAGCAGGGTAAATATATGCTAAATTTCGCCAAATGTGTTCCTTTGAAAAAAGTCACATGGATTTAGAGCAATACGAGAGTAAACTATTCCTTCAATTGTATTTGCTTAGAAAGGGAAGATAGCAAAAATAAAAAAAAGCTACTGTGTTGTTAATGTCCTGTTTTCAAATGTCCCAAATGTGGTGATATGAGGTTGGCTACTGTGGCTTATTCAGTCTCAGATATTCTGGGAAAGCAGCCAATGATCTCCCCCATCTCTGGCCAGTCTTCATATGCATTGCTCCTCATATCATTTTGAATTAACTAAACATAACAGATGAAACAACCAACTTAAAACTAAAAACTAAAAAAAAAAAAAAAGCTACAACAAAAAAATTCTTTTCATTCATTGAAATGAAACCAAAGTAAAATGTAAAAATTGGATGGAAAACTTAAACTTAAAAAGATGTTCCAACCTTTTCAAAAGGACTAGCTTCATTTATTCCATAGGTGCCTGTGAATACCCAGCTATCTCTGGGCTTCAGGGATTTGACCACTGTGCTGCCCAGTGCAGTGAATATTTCTCTAATCTCATCAGTCAGCCTGGAAAAGACATGGTGGCAGTGGAAGTGAGACATGTATGAATAATTCAACTGACTCTAAAGCCAAGTTAATCATGTTGATGGTGTGTGAAGGCTGCCACATTTTTACTTTGGTGTAGGGTCGATGTGTGAGGCCACACGCACTATATTTCCTGGTTTTAGTGTCTTTACATAGACAAGTAATTCCTCGGGATCTTGAAGGACAAACAAGTGGTTCTGTACATCAGGATAGTTTTACTTCACATCTTGTTAGATTTAGAACAATTTCACTAAAAGACCTACCTCTAGATTCCAGATTAAAGTTCTTATTTCTTAAAACCTCACCGCTTTCACCTAAGAAAAAAAGAGTAAATTAATCAAATTGAATTTGATTGGCATATATTAATACTTGCATAAATAGTCAAATATTTTTAACATAAGAAAATATGAAAATGATTTCAGATTTCAAAAAATTAAAATCCTGTCTAATTATTTTTAATAAACAAACCGTTTGCTAACACAATGTTCAGCCCTTGTCCTGCATTATTCTTAATGCCACCCATGATGCCGTAGAGAAGAACATTTGCATCTATAGATCTAAAGATTTAGCATCTATAAATACTATTTAATTAAATATTTCATCCAAAAATGAAAACTGCCATCAGTTATCTCAATAAAACTTAAAAATGGTGCATATCCATCAGTTATGCATAAATGAAACAAGTATAAGAGATTTCTTATATAGTACTAATAAACTGAATGTGTTTTAACCAGGTTTATATATATATATACTTGTACACAACACACACACATATATTATGTAAACAAAAACTTTTATTTTGGATGCCATTAATTGCGATTAATCATTTGACAGCACAACTATATATATATATATATATGTATGTATATACAATCAATAAATCTGATTTGTTTTAATTTCATACATTTAAAAAAACTGAATCTTGCTTGTTTCGCAGCTATAGCCATTTTTACACCATATCGTTTTTAACTTATTAAATTTAATTGTTTTCACAAAGAACAGATTTATACTGATTCTAAGCTATTACTGAACAAATGCATTTAGAAAATATTAAATAAAATCACACAAAAAAAACTCAAAAGTCATTTTGTGAATTTAAAAGTGATTAAGTAATCCAAGACTTTTGTGCTACAAGCCATACAACAGGTTAGCGTGAGGAACAGACAGAGATTTGTTGTTTTTTACCGAAAACATTTAACTATGTGCAAGCTATATCACTGTAAGCTTTGAAAAGTATGGACAAGCAGCATAACTGTTCTGATGAATATCTCATTTTGCATTCATATGGGTGAGTAAATGATGACAGAATTTTATACAATTAATTTAAATCACCACCGTGTTAAGGCCCGTTCACACCAAGCACGATAACTATAAAGATAACGATAAAGATATAGTTCTAAAAATCGTTCTCAATATTAAAGAATAGCATAGTTCACACCACAACTATAACGATACAGAGGAACGATATAGTTGTGATCACTTTCAAAACGATTTTTTCTCCAGCTGATGAACGATTAAACACTGACAGCCAATCAGAATCCACCCTGCTGTAACGAGCTCAAGAATTTAAAGCGGCAGACGCATGTGCGCTTAGAATAAACAGACGATATCGTTCGCTGGTGTGGACGCTAATATCGTTATCTTTCTTGGTGTGAACGCGGCTTTAGTCTGTCACGAATAAGCTACAGGATGTAACAGTTCTTACATTGTATTGTTAAAGCAGATCTTTGCAGCCACCACATTGAAGGGAAAGTAGTTGATAGGGCAGTGTTTATGTTGACAGCAACCAAAATGAGGCTTAAATAGACCTGGCCAGAAAAAATAAACAGGTTGCCTGAAAAAAATACAGTACAACGAGCACCCCAACAAGCTCCATCTCCACCTCGTCCACTAATGAGCATAAAAATTCAGTTTACCTAGATTGTCACAGTCTGTCACAAAATCATTAACTTCATCTGGAACACAAAACAGCCCCAATCTTAGCCAAACTAACACATAACGGCAATAAAATAGATTTTTAATGTTATAGATTAACACGTTGTCATATGTGATCACCATGTACATTACATAACCGTTTGGCAGCTTCTTGGAGTTTTGACCAGTTGACAGAGAAACACCATATTAAGATGATCAGCATTGTTGTGAGAACATACACATGATCTGAAAAACACAAGTAACATATGCTCAATATACACACAAACAGTCATACAAAATAATCAGAAAAGCTAACAATGTTTTCTTTACCTTTAAGTCTAATTTTTGGTAGCACAAAATAATCTTCTGGGCTTCTCACAAGCCTGATGCAGTAATATGGTTTAAAATGCAACTACCAGAAATCACAAGAAATGTATTATTTTTTTCTCTTGTACTTTGGAATTGTTACCTGTTTGAAAGTTCCCAGGACTATGGTGGTGTGTGAAACCTGACCCGGCAGGATCTACCTTAAGGTGTGGTAAATTTGCACCATTAAATCCAAACAAATCTAACCTAACCTGTCAATTTAGACAGATGAGATGTGTTGGTGCATGCAAACTGATTTTACAGTTGTGTGATGCCCTCTTGTGGCTATCTATAAGAAAAGTGCATGCAAACACACAAGGAATTTTAAGTATATAATTTTATTCCTTCTCAGTTACACAAACTGTTTTTTTAAGTAGTCAGTAGTTCAGTCTCAGATAAGGTGTAAATATGAAAATCTAAAGATACAGAATTCCATCATCAAAAATACTTCCCACCATGAACTGAGTAAATAGAAACACCATAATGGAGCTCTGGACTGCACATAATAATTCTCTATCAACATAGTCATATTAAAATAGTGGTGAAGTCAAAACACTGCCATTAGTAAATACCAACACCAGCATATGAGTGCAGATTATTGTTCAAATACACAGAGTTACATTTTACAGTAACAGATTTCAGTAAGGCACTGAAATACAAACTCTACAGCATCATTACAATTGATAAGTCTGGTTTACAGTAAAATGCTTATTCAGATGTGCTTCTGGTATCTGTGGCACTGTTCACAGTATCCAGTGGGAACAACCCTGAGATCATAAAGCTGTTTTAAAATCAAGAAAACGTCAGGCACAATACAATCATTTCAACAGACTTTGGTACAACATGCCTTGCATTGAGAAATTCAAGAAAATACTAAACAAGTTCTAAACAAGGAGTGCATTTAAAAAGTAGTTCCAATATTGACCAAGTATTAAGCAATGGGCACAGTAACCATAACAGCTCTTTTCATAAGTTATTTGCCTGCAAATAAATCATAGTAACTTTTATCTCTAATAAGCATCTTATACCATTTCCCCACAGTTCTTTCATGTAGGGGATGTTAGCCCTCCAATCCTGCCAAATGTAACCAGCTAATTTGAACTGGTTGGTGGACATATCCGTGCTGAAAAATGGTGGAACAGATATAAATATTTCAGAAACTCCTGGTGGTTTTTAAATGATCCATGTGATGCTTTTGGCCATATAATGTCACAGCATTAAAAAGGAAGAGAAGCGTCAAGGATAAATTATGCTACATGATTCACTCCAAAAGGTCCTGTGGAAAGAACATCCAGAGTAAGAATAAAAAGTAATTAAGTATATATAGTTTTGAAGGCTATTATTACTAATTTTAAAGTGCCATGCATACTAACTTCATCTGAATCATGGTCCTCTTCTCTGGCTGCATTTTGTTCTTCCATTTGTCGCAGCTCTGAATATCTATATGTTACATTACTGTAATAAAAGTCTAAATTTAGTTGTCACTTAGTAGGGACAAATTTGGCAACACATATGGGTTTAAAGTGATTAACTTTCGTATAAATTATTGCAAACTATTTTTCTGTACAACATGAATGTAAGTTTAGGTTGCACTGTCAAATAAAGCACATGTTGCATATATACCTCTGCGGACAGCAATATTTCCGGATGATGAAGACAGCAGCTGCTATTGCAGCTACAATAACGATCACAACAGACGCGATTACTCCGAAATGGAGTCTTGCAACCTGCGAAACAACAGACCGTGTATTATAGTAAGTATACAAACTAATAGAGAAGAGACTGACGCTAGAAAGTCGATAACCAACCTCTTGAACATTTGGTGCCGAGGTGGGTTTCTCCAAACTTTCTGACTGTCTGGATTCGCGATATGACGGAAAGGCGAAGGCGAACTCATTAAAAATACTATATAAAATCACATTTAGTAACATATTTGAGTAGTGGCTTAACTTGAACGACTTTCTCGCCATTATAGATGTTTACTTCCTAGTGATTCTACCTGTCAAATGACGTAAAGGAGTAACTGGCGTATGATTGGCCGATCGTGTGGCAACGCGATGACTTCCGTCAACAGTATACTGTAGGATCACTTTAAAAAGTGAGATTAATTTAAAACCTGTGAATTGAATTATATAGCAGATATTCTATCATTTTAGTTCGTTTTACATATTGTCTAGGAACAATTTTATAAGTTTGAATAAAAAAAGTTAGGAGGGCTAATAAACACTGAAATGGATTCCACAATATGAGTTTATTTCTTGCTTACTGAAAACGTAACTTCTGTTATGAGCTCAAACAAGCTTGAATGTGAATTTATTACTAAAAACTAATACATTACATTAGAAAGAGTTACAAAAAAATACACTTTAAATCCTAAATTTCCATTAAAACCATTAAATGTTATGAAGGACAACACGCTTCAACTAATCCATACATGTAAATGGCTGTATTGAATAACATGGTTGTAGATGTAACTCATCTCGGGATCAGAGCAGTTCATAATATTTCCCAGATTGTGGATCAAAGTAACAGTTGAGGCAGGGATCATACATTAAATTGAGAAACTCTTCTTCTCCACTGATGTTGTGTGTTGTGCAACGTAGACCCTGTGGATACTGGATAGCATAGAGAAAAAAGTTATGATATATATATATATATATATATATATATATATTGCAATTGTTTTGTGTTTCAAAACTGATTTCAGTAAAAGCCATTCAGTAGCTTCTAATTGGCAATTTAACCGAAAGTTTGCATTTCACATAGTGACAATTTACCCCATAAACTGTTCATAGAATCTTGCAGTAACAGTTAATATGTTTTCTAACAAAGACTTTAAAAAATAAATCTGCCTTTAGAAATACTCAATATCTTGAAAACCCTGATAACTTGCCCCCGTCTCGCCTACAGTTTAAGAGTCTTGTCACAGAAATATCACTGTGGGTTTTAGATGAAGAAGGAAAAATCAATCATGAATGTAATTGTACCAGTTCTTCTCCATCCAAGAGAAAACTAGATCATGATTTATTTTAAGCAACAAAGGGTTGAGAATATGAGCCCAGGATGGGGATTTTTCTGGTGTCATACCTCTGGGTGAGACCTTGCCGTGGTCTCCTTTCCCATCTGCCATCTGTTGATTTGGATGAACTATCGGAGGGCTGAGGACATCCATCCATTCTCTACAAGAGGGTTAAACCATATAGTCAATTCAAATATAGTGTATAAATATATATATTTTTTTCATTTAAAAATTGGGAGCCTGGGTTTTAATGGTCCTAAAAATATACTTTCTTCTGCCTTAAAGGTCACATATTGTACACCTTTCTGGAGTTTTATTTTAACAGGTCGGCCGATCTGGTTTCGTGGTTAAAGTTAACCTTTTCGACATGTTTCCATGTTGTTGCTCAGCAATAGCATGGACGCGATGTTGTCTGGGGGTTTGGCAAAAGGAGAGTGGGACGGTGGGCGGTGCTCGGGGTGGTGACTGAAGGCGGTGACTGTGTAGTTCTGACGTCAACTTTTTACGGAAGTCACAACGGTTCGTGAAAAATCAGCTACTTTATACAGGCTGTGTGCATTTTGCTGTGGACTGACTGTTTTGAAACTTATATAAATAGCCCCTAGACCTATGATTTATAGTTTAATTATACTAAAGCTTCTAGAATCATACGAAGCTGCATCAAAGCCCATTTTCGAAATTCCTGCTCTGTCGCTAACATGTTACCTCTTGTTGTGAATGAAAGACCCCCCCTTCTGCATGTCTCTCTCTTTCATATTATCTCATTTACTTTCATATTCCCTCCTCTTTTTAACGCATGATGTGGTGTTGACGGACAGGCTCCGTGGTGAGACGGGAGGGAGGTGGATGATGACCTCCCAGCGAGCTCTGCTGCAGCGGTGACAGCTAGGTGACACATGCAAGCCTCTGAGCACATGCATAACTCCTGCTTATTCATTGTCCCTGACAACCATGCTTAATTAATCACCGAGGCGTGGCAGTGTGGGCAGCTTCCCTTGACAGGAAAAGTTCTGCGTAGGAAACTAGCCATAGTTATGCTGTGTGTACAAAAACATTAACATATTAACACAGCTCCATAAATTATTTTTGGTCGGTTAATTTATATTTAAAGGTCTACTTATAAACAGTCATTATGCAGAATCAGTTTCTTCCTAAACAGTGTTTAATTATTGCAGTGTAGATTTTCTTTATTTATTTGTATCTTCTTAATGTATTATTTATATACTGCTACTACTACTACTACTAATAATGTTATAATAATGTTATAATAATTCTGTTTATGCAATTCATAAATTACTGATGCTAAAAATACAATAATAATAATTATTATTGTTATTATTATCATTATATTTTTACTACTACTATTAATAATAATAATAAATATTTTATTTGATATAATAATAAATATTTTATCATCATTATCATGATCATTTGTCATACAGTTGTAATTATTATTATTAGTAGTATATAAATATTATATAAACAGTTATATTTATTAACCAATATTTATTAAACATTTTAACTTATTATTATTATTGATTTTTACCTGATTATTTATTCATATACTGCTGCTACTGATAATTATTGTTATTATGATTAAACTATATTTTAAATAATAACATTAATGGTGTATATAAATATTATATAAACAAAAAGTTATTAAATGATGATGATGATTATTATATTTAATATATTACTAACGTCAAAAACTAAGGAAAAGAATGAGACGACAAAAAGAAATAAGGTGCTCCGTTAGGTAGACAGTTTGGAAGCTTTGTCATGAATTGAATGGCAAACAAATCTTTTGAAGGCTGGCATAAAATTTTGTGGAGCACACCACCTGCTCTCTTTTTATGCTTTGATGTTCAAAAGTTCTTTTTAGTATCCTGGAACCACTGGATACAATTGTCAATGGAAACTTCAAAATGTTCAGTGCCCAAGCTATCCCTATCACATTTTCTTACCACTTTTCAGAAGTCCAAATTATTGAACGTGCATGGGCCTGAGGGCTGACAAGAGTTCTCTTATGAACTCGCATGATAAAGTTCTGAAATTACTCATTCATGTCTGAGCCTCAGCACTTAAGATACTGACAGGCTTAGCATAATGGCTTAGAGTTATGCCTCACAGACTTAGAGAGGCTAAAAATACTGTATTTTTCTCTTACCTGGGATTAGAGTGAAGAAGAGGGTTCATTTCGTTCTGATAGTGCTGGCCTTGATCCACTGGCTGTGAAGCACAGAGAGAATAAGCACTGTATATTTATAATCTGGTTCAGGGGCCATGTCGGCCCACTATTAGCTCCAGTCTAGTATATAGGAAAAAATAATATGTTCTGGATAACTGCATTCCTTACTGTAAAATAATGATTTAAGCCTTTATAGTTTGGAGCAGTGGTTCTCAACCGGTGGACCGTGAATCAAAACTGAGTTGCAGGTCTGTTCTGATAGAGTCTAATACTAATGCTGTTCCATCAGCTGAAAAAAAAAATGTTTAGAAAGCGATTCCACTGATATCATTCCTCAGTGACATTATTGTTATAGGCGTGGTGTGGATTCTGCTATTTTTATTTTTTTTTTAATTCAGAATGATTTTTAAAACTATATCTTTGAATATAAAATTTGACATTTTTCTTTTACTTCTGCATGATAAATGATTTGTTAGGTGTCGTTCCACCACTTGATGTCTAATATGTAAAATCTGGTTCCTGAGCCACAACTAGAAGCACTTAATTATTGTGCATGTTCTTCTCGCCTCATGGTGGCAGTATTGCTGTGTTTTCACAGTTTTACTGTCCACTAATTTGCAGTTTCTCAATACCAGGCGCACCAGGCATGATTAGCAGTTGCAGCATATCTATCTAATCAACAGACAACAACACCATCAACAACTGATGGATAGGGTCTGACATTGAAACGCCATGGGAGTTTATTTCACTCTAATTAGTGGGGTTTTTATATAAACTGTTTGATTGCCCTTCTTTATAGGAAAACAGTTTTAATATTCTCTCTATTATTTGCCTGCTAGCTACAGTTCATCCATACAAAGCACTCTGTAACCGAGGAGCCTAATAATGAAGAAGGAATTCAGGCCTTCC